CACCTTATTAGGCTTTAGTATAATTACTTTTATCATTATCATCACCCTCTTGATGGTTATTATGAAAGTAGGATTATGTCCATTTTTTGAAAAAAGAAGCTGAAGCCCAAGTAATATATCCAAGGGAAAAAGCTAATACATAGTGGAGCTGGGATTTGAACCTTGATCTCTCTGACAGCAGGAGCCCAGTAATTTGCATTCACATTACGCTGCCTCCTCAGTGTGTGATTTTTAATTGTGAGTGTTAGTCACTCAGTCATGTCTGACTCTTTGCGACCTCATGAACTGTAGCCTGCCAGGCTCCTCTGTCCATGGGATTTCCCAGGCAAGAGTACTGGAATGGGTTGCCATTTCCTACTCCAGGGGATCTTCCCAACCCAGGGATTGAACCTGGGTCTCCTGCATTGCAGGCAGATCCTTTACCATCTGAGCCACTAGGGAAGATTTGTATATCTTTTAATACTTAAAGAAAATATGTGGTGGGAGAGGATGTGGGGAATGTTACTAGCTACTTCTCTTTTCCGTTGTATACCCAAGTCATCTCATTATAGGAAAAAAGTTTCTGCTGGCGGAAGCACAGGCTGGAATCAAGATTTCTGGGAGAAATATCAGTAACCTCAGATATGCAGATGACACCACCGTATGGCAGAAAGTGAAGAACTATAGAGCCTCTTGAGGAAAGTGAAAGAGGACAGTGAAAAAGTTGGCTTAAAGCTCAACATTCAGAAAACTAAGATCATGGCATCCAGTCCCATCACTTCATGGCAAATAGATGAGGAAACAAAGGAAACAGTGACAGACTTTATTTTCTTGGGCTCCAAAATCACTGCAGATGGTGATTGCAGCCATGAAATTAAAAGACGTTTACTCCTTGGAAGGAAAGTTATGACCAACCTAGACAGCGTATTAAAAAGCAGAGACATTACTTTGCCAACAAAGGTCCGTCTGGTCAAGGCTATGATTTTTCCAGTAGTCATGTATAGATGTGAGAGTTGGACTGTAAAGAAAGCTGAGCGCCAAAGAATTGATGCTTTTGAACTGTGGTGTTGGAGAAGACTCTTGAGAGTCCCTTGGACTGCAAGGAGATCCAACCAGTCCATCCTAAAGGAGATCAGTCCTGGATGCTCATTGGAAGGACTAATGTTGAAGCTGAAACTCTAGTACTTTGGCCACCTGATACGAAGAGCTGACTGACTGGAAAAGACCTGATGCTGGGAAAGATTGAGGGCAGGAGGAGAAGGGGAGACAGAGGATGAGATGGTTGGATGGCATCACTGACTCGATGGACATGGGTTTGGGTGAACTCCAGGAGTTGGTGATGGACAGGGAGGCCTGGCATGCTACGGTTCATGGGGTCACAAAGAGTCGGACACGATTGAGCAACTGAACTGAACACAAAGATGAACTCTTTTTACTCAGTAGTTCAAATGAAATACATGACATTTGTATTGCATGAGTCATTAAAATCTTATAGGTACTTTGCATTAATAGACTAAACAATTTATTATGTGCCTAAATATTTGTCCACATCATTCTTAGAATGTAAACTTAATGAAGCTATAACTATTCTTTTTTGCAATTAGGCACTTGGTGCTTTTTGATGTTGGTTATAGTTATATGTAGGGGCTTCTCAGGTGGTGCTAGTGGTAAAGAACTTGCCTGCCAATGTCAGAGATATAAGAGATGTAGGTTTGATCCCTAGGTTGGGAAGATCCCCTGGAAGAGGGCATGGCAACCCACTCCAGTATTCTTGCCTGGAGAATCCCATGTACAGAGGAACCTGGCAGGCTACAGTCCATGTTGTCGAAAAGAATCACAATGAAGTGACTTAGCATAGTTATATGTGGGATGAAAGTTAGAATCCTCATCTCTGCCAGCACCAAATGAATACTTGAGGCAAATAAAGAACAGTAGACTTGGGGCCTCTACACTCTGGAGATCTTCTGTTGCTTCTTGTAAAAGACCTGGGAGAAGAGTAAAGTAATCCTGAGGCTTTCTAGTACATATGCCCTCCTTTTTATTGCCTCCCTTTCTGTTGCTTGAAGTGAAGTGTTAGTTTCTCAGTCGTGTCTGACTGTCTGTGACCCAGTGGACTGTAGCCTGCCAGGCTCCTCTGTCCATGGGATTCTCCGGGCAAGAACACTGGAGCGGGTAGTCATTCCCTTCTCCAGGGGATCTTCCCGATCCAGGGATGGAACCCAGGTCTCCTGCACTGCAGGCAAATTCTTTACCACCTGAGCCACCAGGTGAGCATGCTCTTAGGCTCCCTTGACAGAGAATAACAGACACATTGTCTTATAACAGCACAGATACCATAGCAGGTAGTATGCAAGTTTGAACTGTAGGCTTCTTTGAACAGAAAGCACATTCTTGATGTGGTATAGTGTACTCATTCTTGTCTGGAGGCGCCATCTACGTAATCTTTTCTTGTTCTTTTTATGGATTTTTATTTTTCAATGCATTTTAAATCTGCACTACTGTTGCTGTTATTCAGGTCGAATTACTTTTTCTTTTTTTTAAATAGAAGTAAGTAGGGACCGGAATTCCCTCAGTCCAAATCCTGGCCCTGCTGCTATAAACTCTGTGATCTTGAACAAATTAAATTATCTAACTTTCTGAGCCTCAGTACCCCCATCTTTAAGGTAGTTGTGGAGAGAGACTACACAAAACTAAAAAGCTTTTGTACAGCAAAGGAAATTATCAACAAAACAAAAACACCACCTACTGAATGGGAGAAGATATTTGCAAATGATATAACCAACTCAGCATCAAATAAACACCCCAGTTGAAAAAATGAACAGAAGATCTAGACATTTTTCCAAAGAAGGTGTACAGATGGACAACAGGCACATAAGAGATGCTCAACACCACTGGTCATCAGGGAATACAAATTAAAACTGCAGTAAGATGTCACTTTACACTTACCGTATTGGCTGTTAAGGAGACCAAATAGCATGTGTTGGCAAGGATGTAATCTGGAGAAAAGGGAACCCTTATGCACTGTTGGTGGGAATATAAACTGGTACAACCACTATGAAAAACAGTATGGAGATTCCTCAAAAAATTAAAAACAGGGCTACTGTGTGATCCAGAAATTCCAGTCCTGGGTATTTATCTGACAAAAGCTAATTCAGAAAGAGAGATGAGCCCCTGTGTTCATTGCAGCATTATTTACAAAAGCTGTAAACTTAGGAAGCAAACTTAGTGCCTGTTAGGAGATAAATGGATGAAGAAGATGTGGTTATATTATATATCTCTGTGTGTGTGTGTGTGTGTGTAATGGAATATTACTAATTCTTAACAAAGAATGGAATCTTGTCATTTTTGATGTGAATGGATCTAGAGGGCATTATGCTAAATGAAATGTCAGAGAAAGACAAATACTGTGTGATTTCACATATGTGTGAAATCTAAAAAACAAATGAACAAACATAAAACAGAAAAAAAGTCATAGACACAAAGAACAAACAGGTAATTGCCAGAGGGGAGGTGGGCAGGAGGAGGAAGGAAATAGATGAGAGTTTAAGAAGTAACTTCCAGTTGTAAAATAAATGATTCACAAGTATGAAATGTATAGTGTGGGGAATATAGTTAATAACTCCTATCTTTGTATGATGACATATCATGACTAGATTTATCATGGTGATCGTTTTGAAATGTATAGGACTATTGAACCACCAAGTTGTGTAACAGGAACTGACATGATGTTGTAGGTCAACTATACTTCAGATACAAACAAGCTCAGAAAAAGAGATCAGATTTTGTGGTCACCATAGATAGGGCAGAGATGGCTGGTGGAATTGGATGAAGGCAGTCAAAAGGTATAAACTCCCAGCAAAAGACTCAGGTTCATCCCCTGGGTTGAGAAGATCCCCTGGGAGGAGGGCATAGCAATCAACTCCAGTATTCTTGCCTAGAGAATTCCATGGACAGAGGAGCCTGGCAGGCTACAGTTCATGGGGTCACAAAGAGTCGGACACGACTGAGCGACTTTCAGTCACTTCACTGTAAGATAAATGAGTACTAGCGATGTAACGTACAACATGATCAGTATAACCAATACTGCATATGTTATGTATGAAAGTTATTAGGAGTGTACATCCTAAGAGCCCTCATCAGAAGGAAAAATACATGTTTAAAATGTAATTTTAAAATACATTTAATTTTGTATCTATATGAAATGATGGATGTTCACTAAACTTACTAAAATAATCACTTCATGATGTGTGTAAGTCAAATCATTATGCTTTACACTTTAAACTTAGGCAGAGTATACTCTGTTAGTTGCTCAGTCGTGTCTAACTCTTTGCAACCCCATGGACAATAGCCCACTAGGCTTCTCTTTGTCCATGAAATTACTGGAATGGGTTGCCATTGCTTTCTCCAGGGGATCTTCCGAAGCCAGGGATTGAATCCAGGTCTCCTGCATCGCAGTCAGGCAGACTCCTTACCATCTGAGCTACCAGGGAAGCAAAAACTTATGCGGAGGTGTACGTCAAGTATATCAGTAAAACTTGAAAAAATAAAATTTATGTGGAAATACAAAGGGAAGAAATAAATAAGTAAAAAAAGAGAGTTATGGGGACTAGATGAAATGCCATATTTCAGTTCCCTACCTTTTAAATACCATATTTTAAAAGTACCCTCTTGCCTCGTGCTTTAAAAATGTTAATTTCCATATTGCCTTCCTCAGGCATATTTGAAAGTCTGTATTTCCACATGGCATGCTTTCTATTACTCATAGCTATAGGTCATTTTTTTTTTTCCGATTCCAGAATGACTTTGAAAATCAAATGAAAAGGTATGAGGAAATTATTGTTTCTAAGGAAATAAATGAGATAGCATTCTGATTTGTTTAAAGTACAGACTTCTTATTTACTTTGACTTCATTATAAGTACCTTTATATCTTAATGATAATTCTCAAGCTCTAGGTCTATACTGCAGTGTCTTAAATAATTCTACGTTCCCATTTCTTTGACCTTTCTTTCCAGGTTAAAAGATGGAGGCTGGCTCAGTGGTTCGAGCCATCTTTGACTTCTGCCCTAGTGTGTCAGAAGAACTGCCACTCTTTGTGGGAGATATTATTGAGGTATTGGCAGTGGTGGATGAATTTTGGCTACTAGGAAAGAAAGAGGATGTGACAGGTAAGAGGCTTATGATTCTTCACATTCGAAATAGGCCATAGGCCCTCCCTTCTTTTTATAGTTTAATGGCAAGCCCAATAAATAAACTTCAGATCCTTTTGTGTTTTCTGTATGTGTTTGCCGTGGTTTCTACCAGCGAGGAGAGAACGTCTGTTATCATTGCATCTCTCCTTGCAGGTTCCTTTAAAAGGTTGACGTGGTTAGGTACCACCTGCCCTCCTAAATCCCTGGGTGACCTAAATTTATTAAAGTTGCCCTGTACCCTAGATGCACTTATCTCCCACTTTGCGTGTGCCTGGTTTCCTTTTTTCTATTGTTGAAAACATAGATTAGCACTAGTTTCTTTCATGAATTCAGGAGGAGGCTAAAAGTTCTTCTCTCACAACATGCATCTGTATTAAATCCAGCCTTAACTTGCATGTATTTATGTATGTCTGGCTTGGAGTATATCTTACAGTCCTGAGAACAGACTCTGTTGATACTTAACCCATATTTGGGGGATAATAGATTATTTCCCGGTAGATGTGATACCTCAGCTAGGATAAATATGGTGTGTCAGAGTTAGCAAGTCAAAGAGAGTAGGTAGAGAGGATTGCTTATTCAAGGGCCCTGGATCAAGAGGAAAAGAGCATGGAGGAACTGAGAAAAGTTCAGTCTGGCATGAAGTGTGAATGGTTGAGGTGGGGGAGATGGCATAGGGAGATGAACAGAGATTGGATCATGGAGGACAGCGCATGCTATGGAAAGGGGTTATGGAAACAGGCTGCTGTAAACGTGCTTCAAGCACAGTTAGACTTGTATTTTACAAAACTCTCCGCTTCAAAGTGAAGAGTGATAGGAAAGGGCAAAGCCAAAAGCAGGGAGGCGGGATGGGAAGTTGCTGCATCGAGGTGAGAAGTAGCTGTGGCTTGGACCGAGGTGATGAGTCTTGAGATAGTGGACAGATGCACGAGATATATAGAAGGTGGAATCAGCTAAACTTTCTGATGCTTTCCAGCTGACAGGCCTGTCTATCTACCATTACCTGTTAAAACCCTGCCCATCTTCAGACTCAACTGTAGTTTTTTTCCATAAAATTTTTCATTTTCTTCCTGACCCGTTTTCTGCCTTCTCTGAACTTCCATAGCAATTTGTATACCTATGAGTTGACACTGGATTTCAGACTGAAATATTGCTTATGTCTGAACTAGATTTTGTGTCTGAACTAGATTTTAAGATCTTTCAGGGCCAAGACTGTCTTACTGTTTTTCCCGTCTGCAGTGTGCCTTTGATAGAGTGACACCCATTAAATGCTTATTGGATTGAATTGCACTCTCTGTGTTCTGCAGGCCCCCAATTTTGTGCATTGCACATTTTCTACAATAGATTTTCCAGCTATGAGTACTCAGTGAATTTTTAATTTGGGGTCTATAAATGAGCTCAGAAAAAAGTTTTTTGTCCTGGTATACGAACAGAAAAAAAGGAATTTTATTTTTATTTATTTTTTAAAAAAAGGAATTTTATTTTATTTTATTTATTATTATTTTTTTTTTTTTTGGAATTTTAATACTGGAAATGTTTGCTTTTATTTTCAGGACAGTTCCCCAGCAGTTTTGTAGAAGTTGTTACCATTCCCAGTCTAAAAGAGGGTGAGAGACTCTATGTCTGTATCTGTGAATTTACATCCCTAGAGCTGAACAGTCTTCCTCTCCATCGAGGTAAGTTGATCACCCAAGAGTAGTCTGTTTAAAATAATACTGGTGGGGTCAGTCCATTTTGACAACTCGCTCTTTTTTTAATTTTTCTAAGTAAGTAACCTCTAGAGAGTCTTCAATAATACTAAGACAGAGCTGACAGTAATAAACCCTTATCTTTGAGTAGCATTTTATAGTTTCTATATTTTTTTCTCACAAATATAGTCTCATTTCATTCTCTGTATCTTGTGTAGTCAAGTCTTAGGTACTAAAGCTTGTTTATTAATGTACAGTAATAGAGCAGGAATTGTGGTTTGCAAATTAAGGCAGAGATGCGAAACGTTCCCATTCCTACCCAACTATTAGGTAATGTTATTAAAGTTCTCATCAGAACAGTTTTAAAAGGAAGTGGTTTTAAACAGATGGTCATAGTCATGTCTCAAGTATTTCTTGTATTCAAGTATTTCTTGCTTCATGTACTCTGAAAGACTTAAGAATGTCTAAAGAGTGACTAAACCATTTTAGCACACGTCCGTCCGTCCATACATTTCTGTACAAGCACAGAAACCAGTAGTGTTCCACGAACTGAGGCTTATGATCAGTGCAGTTTTGTGACTCACAGCAGTCATCAGAATTGTATGATTTATTGGATATATAAATATTGTTATTCTTTTGAGTATGTCTCTAAAGGGATAGATGTAATTTCCTTTTCTTTTCTTTTTTGGGCCATACCTCATGGCATGTGGGATCTTAGTTCCCTACCAGGGATCAAACCCGTGCCTCCTGCAATGGAAACACAGTCTCTTCACCACTGGACCACCAGGGAAGTCCTGGAATAGGCTTAATTTCTTAAACCATGTACACATATGAAAGAGTGTGCGCACAGAGGTGGGGAGAGAGACCAAGCAAACTCCCTAACCTTTATTCAGTGAGAAGAAAGGAAAAGTGACCTTTGACCTTAATCCTCAAAATTAGTTGTCACAGTTTCTTGTCTTCACTTTACATTGAGTCCTACCTCTGTTCTGAATACATTTTTGCTAAATCAGTGTTGCAAAGACAGAAATAGAGGAAGATGTTATAGCAGGGGACATTATCTGTTCATACTCAAAGTTCTTCCATTGGAGGATTGAGTTCACGTCAGTCAGACCAGTCAGGAGGTGTGGAGAAAGGGCCAGAGCCCAGTGGCTAACAACATTGATACGACTTTGTTATGTATTATTCTGTGTGTAACAGTATACTGTATGGGAATATATAGTATGTCTACAACATTTAAGGAATTTGAGAATGTGGCTTCTGGAATTAGTTTGTTTACTTCATATTATATCTTGTGTAGTCTTTCCTGATGGCTTAGTTAGTAAAGAATCCACAGGCAGTGCATGAGACATGGAAAATGTGGGTTCGATTCCTGGGTCAGGAAGATCCCCTGGAGAGCGAAATGACAACCCACTCCAGCATTCTTGCCTGAAAAATCCATGGGCATGGACAGAGGAGCCAGGTGGGCTACAGACCATGGAGTCTCAAAGAGTTGGACATGGCTGAGAGACTAAGCACAAAGTTGTCTTAGGTACTAAACAGATTTTCTGCTGAATGCTTCCCTTGAGAAGACTGGACTAATGTGTTGTGAACTTGCTTTAAAGTTAAAATCCACCTCAGGAATCCCAGGGCCACCCAAGGGATTCTCATGAAGACCCTGGTGTGGACCTTTCAGCCACAAGTCACCTCTCTGAAGACTGACTCAAGGTCGGGCTGGATCCCGGAGCCTGTAGATCTTATCTTAACTAGCTTTTAACAAGTTAAGCCTGAGGAGTTCCTCTGTCCCTGGGATTCTCCAGGCAAGGATACTGGAGTGGGTTGCCATGCCTTTCTCCAGGGAATCTTCCTGGCGCAAGGATCAAACCCGAGTCTCTTAAGTCTCCTGCACTGGGAGGTGGGTTCTTTACCACTAGCACCACCCGGGAAGCCCCTTAAAAACATAAGCAGATCTCAAAAGGAAAGAATGTTGGGCAGGGGGTGCATAGGAAAAGAGAGAATAGAAAGAGATATATTATTAATGGTTTTATCTTATTCTCTTCTGTGATACTCTGCTGTGTGCCAGTTAACACGCTGACTATTCAGCTTTCTTTCCTTCTGTGCTTTACACATCTTTTAGTTCTGTATGTCTTCTGATTAGGACATATAGCCTTTGAAGATGGGGAAGTTAGGTATATGTATACAATTTTTATTTTTCTGGGAAGTTTAGCATGAGACACAGAAGTGATTTTAATTCCTCTGATTTTCTTTTCTTTTTTTTAACTACATATGGTTTATGAAGATCAGTGTCTCTGTTCATGAGTGTATACATTCCTTTTTCCCTGTCCTCTAGTACTATTAATTCAGTTCCCTGTTGTTTCTTTACCTTTCCTTTGATCCTTCAGTGTAGCAGTGAAGCTTCTCCTCTTCTGTGATTTAGTGTATGTCGAGAGGGATTTGGAAACCTTTAAGAGCATGTGGGATAATGTTTGAGATCTGGTTTGTTTTACCATGCTGCCTTTAGTTGTTATTTACTTACCTTTCAGAAGTATCACTAAAATAAGAGAAAAAGTATATCTATTTTAACTATAAAATTATATTTTATATGTATGTATAATTAATAAATATATATTTTATATAGTTAGAGCCGACAGTATAGTTTAGGGGGTAAGAATTCTGATGTTCCTAGATTTATTTTTTTTCAATTTTCTATTCTTTATTGTTTATTATAGACATGTTTTACAATTTACTTTACTTCAGTTGTACAGATAGCTTTTTACTTAAAGATTTATCCATTTAAAAACAAGTGACTAGCAAAAAAAATGTTGACCACCGTTTCATAGATTTCTTATTTCTATGTGCAATGGGTATACATGTAACACTTTTAAAATGCTTACAGTAAAAGTAGAAGAGATTTTTGAAAATGTTGATTTTCAAAGTAATCCACTTACAGCTCAGGATGAGGCCTCTATGTATTGCTCTTTTTTTTTTCCTTTGCTTATGTTCTTTCCTCCATGTACATTTTGCTTTTTGATATTAACTATTAATGTGGAACTAAATGCTTTATACATTCTGGGTTCAGCATCTTAGTCACATCTCTCCTACTGTACCATGTACTCTGTAGCATTCATCCATAACTCTTTCACTTTCTTAAAACACCTCAGTTGTCACCACCACAGTGCCTTTGCATATGATAACCTCACCACCTTTGCATGGTGGTACAAACAAATCATTCAAGTTTTAGCCCCAATGAAACTTCCTCAAAAGGGTTCTGATCCCTCAGGTTAGATATTAGTGGCATACAACCATATGCCACTCTGGACTATTTTCCAGGCAAGAACATTGGAGTGGGTTGCCATTTCCTTCTCCAGGCTGATGTTCCTAGATTTAAATCCAGCTTCACAACTCAGTAGCTATTGACTTTGGTCTAATTACTTAAGTTCTCTTGGCCTCAGTGTCCTTATCTACAAATGAGAATACCTACCTCAGGGTAGTCATGAGGACCAAATGAGGTTATACATTAAAGCATCTGGCACAGGGTAAGCACTCAGTAAAAATTAGCTATTTCATTGTTCTAATCCTGGAGCTCATAAATGTGCTTCAGGGGGCCTCGTTTCTTGATAATTATGTGAAGCTTTGTGTGTATCTACATTTTCCAGGGAGATTATATTTGGAATGAAAACCAGCAGTGGTTCTTCCAGCAGGTGTCACCCTTTCTCCTTTCCCTGAAGCTTCCCATTTGTCTTGGTCTGTTCCCTATAGTTTGAGTTATATTTAAATTCAGAAACAAGTTTGTCTCTTAGAAAGATCAATGCGAGTGCTATCCTAAAAAATACGGGGCGGGGGTGGGGCGCGGAAAGGGAGACAACAGAAAACAAAATGAGAGTGTGGCAAAGAAAAGACAGTGAAAGAGGAGAGAAAAAAAAAGTTAGTGAGAGTGATGAAATATTTAATTGCCTTACACAATACAGGATGCTTATTCCTTGCTTACAACCCCGTGCTTCTAGACTACCTCCCTACCCCCAAAAAAGACCAATAAAATTTAAATTGATAAATTTATTTATAAATAGATAAATGATAATTATCACTTAAAGCACTTGTGTCATAAATTTCTGGTGTCCTGCACGTGAGATATCAGTATTAAGGTTCTGATACGGCTCATGTGGACGCCTGGGTAAAGAGTGTGGTCAGTCTGCATAGAGCAGAGTCCCTGGGCACTAGGACTCAGTGAGGACCTAATACCTGCAGAGCCAGACTACTTGTATTCAGAATCTAGGACTTTCTTATCATCTTATTCTTAATGCATTTCTTATTCAAATATAAAAATTTAACCAGAAGAAACAAGCACTGTGGTGACTGGAATTAATTGTCCATAAATAAAAGGCTCAGGCTGACCCTAAGAGTCACCCCACTTCTTATTTTTCTATTCTCAAAATCTGGTCACTGTATTCCAGGAGTTCCTCATATTGTTGTTTTTGAATTATGGAAATGACCACCAAGTAGCCTCCATTCCTAAAGAATCAGAATGCAAAAAACTCAGTAACAGGGCTATATAAAATAAAAGTATTCAACAAAATTATCCCTGAAGTACTTTTCAGGGACTAAATTGTGACTTTAAAAAAAAATTCACCTTTATATATAGAAATAATCAACAGAATGACAGTCTGCAGATAATAAAGCCTATCAAAACACTCACTCAACAGAAAATAGGGACAGAAATCCTACTGTAAGGATTTCATAGAGATCTGGCATTACAAGAAAATATTCTGATTCTGCAGCTTTAAAAAAGCCAGTTGGTTTCGAAGCCAGTAGAGTGGGAGTTATGACACACTTTTATTTTTGTTCACTAAAAGGCTTGTTGTGTCTGAACAGTAGCCGTGTCTCCAATGAGTTTCTTCTGTGATCCTGTTGGAATGGGGAAAAGTCGCTGGTAATTCTCAGGACCCCAAGCTCTGACCAATGGGATATTGAATCAGAAATTAAAGGGAAAATAAAAATACAGGACCAAGACCCTATTTCTCAGGAACATCTAAGCAAATCAGTATGAAATCAGTGAGAATGATTTAGTGCCTACCACTAAATGCAAAAATCTTACATTAGGAGTTGTGTAGTCTATAAATATACAAGTGTCAAAATTGTTGATATAAGTGATAATTTCTTTAGTAGACTACAGATGACCAAGATATGTGTAGACCTCTAAAGTTTATTAGAGAAATATACTAAGGTTTTGGACGGAGAGGCTTGTCTAGGAGACAATGAAAGTCCCCTTGTGTGGAATTAGGCTCTCAGAGGTTAGATAATATTGTATAGCTGGGGATGGGGCAGGGGGAGGTTATATCTGGATGTGAATGCCTGGTTGCATTGAGATGAAAACATAAGAACAGCCTTTTGGTAGTTTGGGCTTCCCTGGTAGCTCAGCTGGTAAAGAATCTGCCTGCAATTCAGGGTTTGATCCCTGGGTTGGGAAGATCCCCTGGAGAAGGGAAAGGTTACCCACTCCAGTATTCTGGCCTGGAGAATTCCATGAATTGTATAGTCCATGGGGTCACAAAGAGTCAGACACGACTGAGTGACTTTCACGAACACTTTCTTTTGGTAGCTTAGTAACTAAATCTCTTTGGAGAACATTCAGAGCAAGCTTATTTTCTTTTAATATATTTCAGGTAGTAAGAATAGGATTATTATAGAAGAAGCCTTGGTTAATAGGAAGAAGGCTTCATGTCCCATGGTAAACATTTGAGCAGGGGAAGGGTATGATAAAATTGATATGTTTATAGTCTTAGTTTGGTATATTGGAAGAGACAGTGTCTGGGAAAAGCTTTAAAAGAATGAGATGATGAGAGTTGGACTAGATGGTAGCAAAGAGCAAGTGATGAACAGAATAAATGTTTTGAGAGAAGAAATGATAGAACAGAAGGAAGTTGGCAGCATGGAGCTAGTTTTGGAGGGAAGATATATTTATTGGGAAATTGAAGAATCTTCACTAATAATGAAGTTGATATTGAGTGCTTGCTGTGTGAAAGGCATTATACCAGATTCTTGAAACAAAAAAGAGAAGTGGTACCTGCCAGTATTGCATCTAATTCACTTGGTAAGAAGATAGTCAGATTTAATTTGTATAAAAAGAGCATATAAATTGATACCCTAAATGATAATCCAACATTCAGGTATGCTTGACTATAAAAGACCTCATGATTTTGCCAGGTGCTTTGCTTTCCTGGTCTTATTTTGCTTGGGCCAGTTGCATTCCTTAATCACCTCTACTCATGAAAGGGAAACTGACTCAGATGTTAAGAAAGTTAAAAAAAATTAAAATTGATAATCTACAAAATGAATAGTTCATAATTAGAAAATTAAAAGTTTGCTGAAAAACAATTTGCTGCAAAACTTATAGAGGAATTTTTTAAACTGGGGTGAATCATAATTGGTTGAATTATAGTTGTTTTTTTTTTTTCAGAAACAAGCACTGTGCCCTGTCTTTTCCACACCTCACCTTCTTCAGCAGTAAGATAGATGCTAACTATTTAGTGTATATTTTGTGACAATAGCTTGAAACAACAATATTGAAATTACTGATTATTTTCAAAAACAAAGTCCTGATTACTTGAACACTCTTTAGAGATTTCATTATGATGTATTTTTAGGATAAGGATAGGAGGGACTTTGAAGATTTCTTTCTTTGCTAATTTTTGATATTGAATATAACTAGTGTGACAAATTAGATCAATCTATTCAAAGGCTTCTAGTGGAAATGAATATATTCTCCATCATTTATAAATAAATCCAGTGGTACAAACTTGTTGATAGTAGCATTTCTCAACCTTTTTGATCCTAGGATTCATTTACATTCTTAGAATTTTTGAGAACCTAAAGAGTACTTGCTTCTGTGAATCTGTTTATATTTACATTAGCTATTAAAGCTGAGAATTTTTTAAAATTTTCAATTTATTTTAAAAATGCATATTAACATTAATAACAAGAATAACATTTTATGAAAAATAAGTAGTTTCCTAAACAAAAAAATTTAGTGAGAATAGTAACATTTGTTTACATTTTTTGCAGATATCTTTAATATTTGGTTTAGTAGAAGAAATCTAGGGTATTTCCTGGTGGTCCAGTAGGTAGGACTCTGTGCTTTTGCTGCTGAGGGTGCAAGTTCAATCCCTGGTCGAGGAACGAAGATCCTGCAAGCCATGCAATGCACTCAACAGTTTTTTAAAAATTTAATTTAAAAATAGAAGAAATCTAGATTATTTTATTTGAATCAGTATTCAGTTTGCCACATTACATTGTTTTGGATGAAGTGGAAAAAAAAAATAGTTTTGACCTCACAGACCCTCTGAAAGATCTTAGGAATCTACCCCCAGGGTTTTGAGGACCACATTTTGGAAACCACAGGTTTACAGGAGTGTTCACTCTATTGTCACCAAATTGTCAAAAAGTGTTTAAGCCCTGAAAACTCTAGATTTACATTCCCTTGAATCTGGTAGGTATTTAAGATGATGAATTGCACTGTTACTTATACCTCTATCCTCCTGGGGTGATAATGGAAGTCATTATCTCTGCTTCTCTTCTCTTTCTTTAGGTGACCTAGTGATTCTCGATGGCACTCTCACTGGTGGCTGGCTGCAGGGCCGAAACTGCTGGGGTGCCCGGGGCTTCTTCCCAGCCTCGTGTGTTAGGGAGCTCTGCCTCTCCTCACAGAGTCAGCAGTGGCACTCACAGAGTGCTCTTCTCCAGATTCCCGAATATTCCATGGGACAAGCCCGGGCGCTGATGGGGCTTTCTGCCCAGCTGGATGAGGAGCTGGACTTCAGAGAAGGGGATGTGATTACCATTATTGGAATTCCTGAGCCAGGCTGGTTTGAAGGGGAACTAGAGGGTCGAAGAGGCATTTTTCCAGAAGGTTTTGTAGAGCTTTTGGGGCCCCTGAGGACTGTGGATGAATCGGTGAGTTCTGGAAATTGTGATGATGGCATTAGTAACGGTGAGGTAGACACCAGTACAGCAGAAGAGAAAGAGGCAGAAGAGGACAGTGAGCAGCCGGGCACCTATGGAATTGCCCTCTACAGATTCCAGGCCCTGGAGCCAAATGAGCTGGATTTTGAAGTAGGTGATAAAATTCGAATCCTGGGCACCCTGGAAGATGGCTGGCTCGAAGGGTCACTGAAGGGCAGGACAGGCATCTTTCCTTACCGTTTTGTAAAGTTATGTCCTCAAACAAGGGTGGAGGAAACCATGGATCTGCCACAGGAGAGCGACCTCACCAACATTCCTGACACACCTTTGGACTGTTCGGAGAACTCCTTAGAAGCAGAAGGAAAAAGACATGAATTTCATGAGTATAAAGCAGAGAAGTCCAACTGTGTTATTTCTGAAACATCCACTTCTACCCTGGAGCACCTGACTTCTGAGTGTGAAGAAAGTAAACAGTCTCACTGGGACACGGACCCCTCAGGAGGGCCCCCGAGAAGCCCAAGTGCAGGGCATGAGCAGCTTCTTGTCAAATGCTCTTCCACGAAGGATCCTTCAGAGGTTGTCAATGGTGTTGCGTCCCAACCTCCACTACTTTTTCATCCTGAATTGCAGAGAAACCAGTATTATTCTATGAGAGGAGGAAGCTACCCAAGCCCAGACCAGTATTCTGACTCTCTTCCTCTAGAAGCAAGGACTCGAGACTACTCCAGCCTACCTCCCAGAAGAACTTCATACTCCCAGCCGAAAACCCTGCAGAAGCCAGGGCCACCTCCTCACAGCACCTCTTCCCTCACTGCCTCCAGGGCAGTCAGACCCAGCCAGTTGAGCTCTCAGCTCCAGGGCCTTGCAAGATGTGTAAAGAAGCACTGCACACCCAAAGAAAGTGCTTCCAGCTTCTGCTCCGCCCCAGACAGATCAGAGATGACACCTGGTCTGCAAGACAAGGCACCTGCCCTGGAAGCCATGACACAGTCACAAGGAGAAGGCAGCACGGACCTGGATTCAAAGTTGACACAGCAACTGATAGAGTTTGAGAAGAGCTTGTCAGGGCCCTGCCCAGAACCAGATAAAATTTTGCGCCACTTTTCAATCATGGACTTTAACTCCGAAAAGGATATTTTCCGAGGTTCCTCGAAGCTAATGACTCAGCAGGAGTTGCCTGAAAGAAGAAAAGCTCTAAGGCCCCCACCGCCCCGTCCCTGTACTCCAGCATCCACTCCTCCACATGTGCTGGGAGACCAGAACCTGAGACTGGATCCACCCTTGGCAATGAGACCCTCTCGCCCAGCTCCCCTGCCTCCCTCGGCCCAGCAGAGAACAAATGCAGTACCCCCCAAGCTCTTAATCTGTAACCGTCCTGGCTGGGAGAGCCTAGAAAAGGAGGGCCCTGAGAACATGGACAAGACTTTGGACCAAACTTCCCAGTGTCCCTTGGTCTTGGTGAGGATTCAGGAGATGGAACAAGACTTGGATATGTGCCGCAGGGCTCAGGAAGACCTCAACTTACTGCTGGAGGAGAAGCAAGAGGAATCACTGAGGGCAGAGACCCTTCAGAATCTTGAGTTCTATGAGAGTAACATTGAGAGTTTGAACATGGAACTCCAACAACTTAGAGGTAAGTGATTAGAAGATAGTATATACTTGTTTCTTGATAGCCTCAAGTCCAAATAACAGCCTACCCGAGTTTTTATGGATATGTTACCATTTTTGATGGACAACTAAGGAATGATTTGCCTTTTATTTATTTATTTGGCTATGCTGCATCTTTGTTGCTGCATGGGCTTTTCTCTAGTTTTGGCCAGCATGGGCTGCTCTCTGGTTGTGGTCCAGGGACTTCTCATTGTGGCAGTTTTTCTTGTCACAGAGTGCAGGCTCTAGAGCGTACGGGCTTCAGTTGTGGCTCCTGGGCTCTCAGCACAGGCTTAGTTGTTGTGGCGCATGGACTTAGTGGTATTCACCAGAATACTGGTGTATTCTCCAGTTGTGTTCACCAGACTGCCAGAAGAAATAATTTATAAAGTAGGAAAAGAGTTAGACTTAGCAACTGGTCTAGGGCCCAAGGAGAGCATGACTGTGCATGCCCTTTGGCATACGTGCTAGAAAGCTCTAAACCTATATCTCCTTAAGAAAGTCAGTAATGAAACGCACTCTGTGGATCTAGGAGTTACAGGATTGTAATAAATAAAAGGTGGGTATTCCCTGGAAAAGGAAATGGCTTCTCACTGCAGTATTCTTGCCTGGAGAATCCCAAGGATGGAGGAGTCTGGAGGGCTACAGTCCGTGGGGTCTCAGGAGTTGGACACAACTGAGCAACTTCATTTTCCTTTAGATCTCTAAAAGTGAATGAAAAAAAAAATCCAAGAAGAAAGAGTATTATTGGAAGACCAGAAATCGAGTAATTTTCTGAAAGGTGGAAAGCAAATGGATTACAGAAAGAAAGGAAACCTCTGTCTAAAATATGCTCAGGCAACAATTGCTGTGCCAGTGGCCATAGTTCTGTGGGAATTCCAAAATCAGAGGTACGGCTCTGGGAGAGTGTCCTGGAGCACTTGCAGGGTGATGAGTTAGAGACCAGGCAGGTCACTGGACTCACAGGTCATTTGTGGCAGCAGTAACATTTGCCCTCAAGGTAAAGCACAAGGGTGAGCACTTAGATGTGTCCTCAAGAGGGCGTTCGTTTAATATGAGTATCTGAACTCTTGGGGGAATGCCAGATAGCTTGATGACTTCAGAGGGCCTGAAAAGGAATCCTAAGGGAACCCTGGCTCAGAGCTATATCCTCAAAGCCATAGCAAGCTTCAGATTCTCCATCACCTTCTATACATACAGTTTTTGAGATATACTTGTAAACTGCTCTTGCATTAGATGTGCAGGTGGCAGAACAAAACTCTCTCAAGTTCTAGGTGTCAATAATTTCTCAATAATGATACTTTTTAGAATTAGTAGTGTTCCAGAGAAATGTTACATTCAACATTCTAGTAACAGACTGGTACTAATGGATGAAATTGGTATTCTTTTTTTATTCCACTGAGTTTTTTTTTTTTAATGTATTTATTTTATTTTTGGCTGCACTGAATCTTCATTGCTTGCCAGACTTTCTTTAGTTGGGGCAAGCGGGGCTGCTCTTCCTTGTGGCACAGAGGCTTCTCATTGCAGTGACTTCTGTTGTAGAGCACAGGGTCTAGGGCGTGTGGGCTTCAGTAGTTGTGCACAGGCTTAGTTGCTCCGTGCCACATGGAATCTTCCCCAACCAGGGATTGAACTCGTATTCCCTACATTGGCAGGTGGATTCTTAACCACTGGACCACCAAGGAAGTCCTGTTCTATTGACCTTCTTTTTCAAAACTAATTTAATAATTCAGCTGGTGTTCTTACTATTTTTTTTTTTTTAATTCTAAAAGTTCAGTGCCATGAAAGACCCACAGTAGGTGGGTATAGTCTTTTTTTTTTTTTTTTTGTGGGTATAGTCTTAATCAGGAAGACTTTTCTTTATCTGACTCCACCATATACAATATTGCCAGTGTTACTGTTGACCTGATTGATTTTTAATAGGTGTATTATTTGTATTAATTGCTAATATGATGAAATTACTTCTTGCGGTCACTGACGGTGCCTCTTAAAGTCATCTTTTTCTGTCTTCACAAAAAAGTATATCCAGCAATATAAGCAGTCTCTTGGAAGAGACAGAAATTAATCAGTTTGAACACCAGCCTTTAACCCTCCAGTGCAGTCCCATACAATCTCTAATCTTCAACTTTAAGGCATAAAATTTAAAACTTTAAAAAAATTATATATTTCGGCGGGATTTGGTCTTCGCTGTTGCATGTGGGCTTTCTCTGGTTGCGGCGAGTGGGGGCACTCTTCGTTGCAGTTCACAGCCTTCCCACTGCAGTGGCTTCTCTCGTTGCTGAGCACGGGCTCCAGGATGAGTGGGCTTCAGTAGCTGTGGCACACAGGCTTAGTTGCTTCGCAGTATATGGATTCTTCCCAGACCAGGGATTGAACCTATGTCCCCTGCATTGGCAGATGAATTCCTAACCATGAGGGAAATCCTTAAAGAACTTTTGATATAGTATTTGTCTAATCCTAATTAATATTTAGTTATTTATATACCTCTCCATGAAAATTTTAAGCCTAATGAGAAGACTGCTACTGTGTGATAGTGGGTGTGCCATTTCCCACACACCTGGTGTGGTGTTGAACATGTAGTAGACTCAGTCAATACTTGATGAGTTGAATTTAGTTTAACTGAATGAAATTGAAGTTTCTGTTCTACCTTCCAGAGCTTTTGAAGATCTCCTACCTCCACTATTTCTTTGAATTTAGACTACTAGGGAGCTAGGGACTATTGGTGCTAAGATTCTGGTCTCCTTGTTAGATATAGTTAACAGTAGCAAAGTAGTCCAATAGTGAGCCAGACCCAAAATTAGGTTATTTTAAAAATAAAATTAGGTTCTTTGTAGCTATTACTCCTTCTACTTTTTTAAATAAGAAAATGAATGGGCAGATGCCTAGCTATGCTTATGATATGGTAGATATTTAATAGGAGTTTGAGAAATTTAGAAAAAATACATTTAAGAAACACTTCTAATTGCAAGATTTAAGTATAGGAAGAAGGGGTATGACTATTTATTTGAACTGTAGTCAGTTGGGGGCTCTGGTTTGTGCTTGGTGGTTTTAGAGCAGAATATACATGACTATTTTGTTTACATTCAACTCCATTTTATGGGTATTAGTGTGAATCTAGTTAGACCAACAAGGAATACACTGAATGGATTCAATTTAAATGTAGGATGGTGTATAGATTTCCATGAGAGCTCACACATAAATGTATATAGCCTTTATACTCTTCTTCATATTGCTCCTTCTTAAGACTCTGGAATTACGAAGTAATGATGACTCATTTACTAGAAGCTCTATTTTTATTTTTTTCTCCAAATCTGATGTGTTACCTTTTATAGTTTTCTGTTTCCTGCAGGTATCTTTCAGCTCAGTTTTTATTTTCTTTATGTAAGGTAAGGATAGTTGTTTTATAGTCTGTGGGGGATGACAGAGGATGAGATGGTTGGATGGCATCACCAACTCAATGGACGTGAGTTTGCGTAAACTCCAGGAGTTGGTGATGGACAGGGAGGCCTGGCATGTTGCAGTCCATGGGGTCGCAAAGAATCCGGCATGGCTGAGTGATTAAACTGAACTGATGATAATTTCAAGGTATTGAGTCTTACTGGGAGTGTTTTTAATGTCACATTGTTCTCATTCATATGGTCTACACTCATCATGTGTCTGGTTATCTTTTTCTGTGTGCTAGTCATAGTATTTGGAAAATATCAAGATCTGAGATGAATTAAGACATGACTCCAGAGAGGATTTGCTTTTATTTCTGTCAGTTGCTTGTGGTCAGCCAGTGTTTCCAAATTCCTGAAGGATAGTAGTCATTGAAGTTCAGAAACAAGAAACTGGAATTCCTGGTAATTCCTAAAATTATAAATTATTCTGTATTTTCTAAAAAAAAAAAAAGGCTCTTTATATGTTCTTGATAATAGTGATAACTATAATAATAGTGAACAATTTTTCTGTTAGGATTATACTAAAAGTTTCAGAGATTTTATGTATATGTGTGTGTGTGTGTGTGTGTGTGTATATATATATATATGAAATAAATGCATGTGTTATTATTATGAACCGAAATGTTAGATTGTATATCTTAATGACATGTAAAATTATTCTCTACCTGATAATAAACTTTGAAATATTTTTTAAGTTTTTACTTTAAAATAATTTTGGATTTGTAAAGAAGTTGCAACAGTAGTAGAGTTCCCATATGCTTTCACTCAGCTTCCCCTGACCCTCATATCTTACATAATCATAAAATATTGATACTTATCAAAGTTAGAAAATTAACATAATAGGTATCTGATAATATAAAATATTAAAAGAAGGGAATATTAACACAAAATAAATGTTAAAAATAGTTTAAAAGCTGTAAAATAATACCCAGATATTTAATATTTAAAAGTGATTTTTAAAGCAAAATTTTAAATACACAAAGCATTAGTTACCCTATCTGATGGCTGATGGTATTGGTCTTTGTTTTATGACTAATATCTCAGACATAGAAAAAGTTTCTGTTGACGTTGGTTGAATTGTTGAGTGTATCCAAAAACGTCTTCAGCGGGGCCATTAGGGTACATGTTGCTTTGCATAATTTTTGTACAGACAGATTTTTATTTTCTAGCAACTACTTGTATTTATTTTTCTTAAGTTTTATTAAATGAAATCAACAGTTGATTTGCGATGTTTTAATTCCTGCTGTACAGCAAAATAATTCAGTTATTCATATACACATTCTTTCTTTTTTAAAAGATGTGCACCATTTTTAAAGACTTTATTGAATTTGTTATAATATTGCTTCTATTTTGTGTTTTGGATTTTTGGCCAAAAGGTGTGTGGGATCTTAGCTCTGCTACCAGGAATCTAATCCACACCCCCTGCATTGGAAGGTAAAATCTTAACGACTGGGCTGCCAGGGAAATTCCTATTCTTTTTATTTATTAACAATTAAAATATTCTGTCTGCTTGCTATGATTTTGACTTTGCCATTGAAAGCCATAT